GTTCCAGATGAATTACAATCAATACGCTAATTTTTTACATGATGTTTATATTATAAACAGTAATGTAATTTTGTAGCACTTTTGTTCAGTGGTTTTGGGAAATAACACAGGATTCCTGTGTCAGAGACACAAGATTTTATAGTGTATCATACAATATAAACATCATAGTCACATTGATTCTTTTGACCCCATAAGTATCTATTGGTAAAGTAAGAGGCTCGGATGTGTACTGTTAACATACCAGCCAAGTTAGTTTTGTAAGTAAGGAATTATTGTTGTATAGGAAACAGTGAGCAAACTTCTTGTCTTTGAGGAGACATTATTTCATCCCTCAGCATTGTTTCCTACAAACACAACATAGAAAATGCCCATGAAAAGAGCTGTCTTGGTATGTGCTAACAAAAGAATATAGGAGAACTATTTTTCTCAACACTTATTATTCCTTAATCACTACTGAGGAGGTTTGTGTATACAGTAATATTAGAAAAAAAAAATTGGTACTCCAAAAGACAGTTCAATTATATTCAGCACAGAGATCTGTACTATTCTTTACTTAAAATTAACACTTTCTCGGGGAGCTCCGGTGGCCTAGTGGCAAGAAGTTGCACTGCAATCCCAGAGGTATGTGGTTTGAATCCACCAGATGCTCTGCTGGAGAAGGAGGGGCAATCTGCTCCTGTACCTGTCAGATCTGATTTGATGGTACACACACACACAAAATAATAAATTTTTTAAAATTTAACACATTCTCCTAACCAATCGACACTTTTGAAAATTATATCTGTGTTTGTGTGTTTGGAGGGAGGCATTATTGAACTATTTTCAAGAGAAGAATGGATAATCGATTGGATAAGACAAGGTGCTATTAATTCAAAATTGACTTCTACAATTTTGTTTCTCCATAGTCAATTTTTAGTCAATAAGTGAATGAAATCAACTTTTCCTTTGCATGCAACTATTATATATTACACTAAAAATTTTCTAATTGAACTATAATGCATATATATGATTTAATAGAAGAAATTATGGCACATGCTCTTTCAATCCTTTCACCCCAATAGTTAAAAGAGCACATATTATATACCAGTGTTTACTAAAATGTTTATTTTGCTAAAATGTTTATTATTAATTTCTAATTTGCCCTTTGTGATTGTTGCTACTTGCCTTCAAATCACTGTGACTTTATATACACCAGAACAAATTGTCGCTCAATCTTGCTTTATATTCTCACAATCATGTTCAAGTCCAGGAGAACTATGTTATTTTGGCACCATTAAGTTTTAATTTTGCTTATTTTTTAAAAACATAAATTATTAGAATTATAAAAAAAAATTCTTGTGCTTTAAGTTGAATGCTGTTTGAGGTAAAACCATCCTTGAATTCATGTGATAACAGCAAGAATATCTCTTTCCACACATTTTCTGGATCTAAGTTGATTTTTCTGGCAGTTTCTTCTCAATGTACTGTTCTAGCTGTTATGGCATAATCTTCCATAAGTTTCCCTTGTGTATGATATTAATGATTTTGTTGTATAAGTTCCACACTCTCTTGGATCACCATTTTGTTTTTAGAATGGAACCAGATATGAAATCTGTGAGTCAGCTGGTTGGGGCTGTGGATATCATTACTGATGTCAGATAGGTCTTAGCTGAAAGCAGAAAACACTGGGAGATAACATACTTGATTTTATTGAATATGGAAAGATGTTCAGCTATGTGGATGATATTACATTTTTAATAACATTGAGAAGATTAAGAATCCCAGAGCAATTAATTGTGCTCATGTGAAAGCCATACATAGACTTAGAAGCAGTTGTTCAAATAGAACAAATGGATACAGCATGTTTTAAAATCAGGAAAGGTGTCTAACAGGGTTGTATAATTTCCCCATTCCTATTTAATCTGTAAAATGAACAGATCATTCAAGAAATTGGACTATCTGAAAAAGAATGTTGTATCAGAATAGGGTGAAGACTCATCAACAATCTGACCTATGTAGATGACACAATCTCACTTGGAGAAAGTGAGGAGGATTTGTATTATGTGCTACAGAAGATCTGATTATAGCCAGTTGAGATTGCATTTCAATATAAAGAAAGCAAATCCTCACCCCTGAATTAACAGGCAGCATCATACTAAATTGAGAAAAGTTTGAAGTTGTCAAATTGAGAAAAGTTTGAAGTAGTCAAAGAATTGATTTTTCTTGGTTGCACAGTAAATACTTAGTGTAACAGCAGCCAATAAATTTAAAGACTTGTTGCTTTGGAAAAATATGCTGTCTAGGATCATAGAAAGAGAATTGATACCTTTGAGCTGTGATGCTGGAGAAGAGTATTGAGAATACCATGCACTGCTAGGAGAACAAACAGTTTGTCCTGGAGAGGGTGAAGCAGGGCTGCTCCTTCGAGTCAAGGATTCTGAAGCTTCGTCTGACATACTTTAGGCATATTGCAAGGATGGACTGGTCCTTGGAGAGGGACATCATGTTTGGGAGAGTGGAGGGATGGCACAGGAGATTAGATGGATCAATTCAGTGACTGGGGTAGTGGGAGTAGGTGTGTCGGAGACAGTGGGGTTGGCACAGGATAGAACATGGTTTAGGGCTCTTGTACATAGGGTTGCTATGAGTTGCAAGTGACTCAAGGGCACATTACAACAACAACAGCAACAGCAACAACAATGACAAGGAAGTCTTTAAAGTTCTAAATAGCAAGAAATTCAGTTTAATTGCTAATCCAAGCCATGATATTTTCGTTTGCTTATTATGCATCTTCAGCTTGAACTTGCATATCCAAACGTTGATTATCCAAAAATGGCTGAAACAGCACATCAGCAGAGAACTGCCAGAAGTGCAGGCTGGGCTTAGAAGGGGTCATGATACTAGTGACATTGTAACTAATGTTAGATGAATCTTGGCGGAAAAGTAGGGAATACCAGAGGGATGTCAATCTGTGTTTCCTTGATTATGCAGTACCATGATAGATGGAGAAAGGACTGAGATTAACAATTTCAGCTTGCTTGCTTCCATAATCAGCCCTCTTGGCTCCATTAGTCAGGAAAGCAAAAGATGAATTGCTTAGGAAAATCTATCATCAGGGACCTGTCCACAGTGCCAAAGAGCAAAAATGCCGGTCCAGAGACTAAGACACACCTGATCCAGGCTATGGTCTTTTCAATTACTTGTTGTGCATTAGACAGCAGGACAATGATCAAAAGATGCCAGAAGAACAATTGATGCCTTTGAATTGTGGTGCTGGAGAAGAATATTGAACACACTGTGGACTGCCAAGAGAAGTAACAGGTCTTTTAGAGAGGATGAAAGCAAGCTGCTCCCTTGGAGGCAAGAATTTTGAGGTTCCATCTCACATACTTAGGACCTGTTGCCAGGAGACACCAGTCCTTGGTTAAGGACATCATGCATAGAAGCACGGAGGAACAGGGCAGAAAAGAAAGGCACTGGATGAGATGGATTGACACAACAATTGGGGTAGTGAGGATTGGTGTGTCTGATGCAGCGATATTGGCTTACAATAGGACAGAGCTCTTGTGCATAGGTCACTATGAATCATAGTTGACTCAATAGCACATAACAACAACAAACACTGCATATAATCAATTTCAGTAAGTGAGAAACACAATGAAGAGGAAAGAGAATAGAATGAATATAAATTAGATGTTTATTTTGTTAACTTACTTGTCCCCTCCATCAAAAAACTTAAATTATTCGCTTTAACGAGGTAGTATAGATGTCTGTTAGGTGCATTGAAGTGAGTATCAGAAGCTTCTAAGTATGCTACTCTGTGACTTTGAGACTTTTGGCATCTCACTTAATCTTACTTAATATTAGGTTTAAAATCATTCTCTGGAAGCGGATGGGATATTGAATGTGCAAGTCCTTACTAAACTATAAAGCATTATACAAATATTTAATTACCAAGAATTATGAGTACTTGAGCTTTTTCTCTATTACAAGAGACTAAAAGCTGTCTGTCTCAAAGCTGAGGGTATAATAGAGCTCCTAATCTGAACATTTTTATCATATTTTACTTCATTTTAATAAGGTTAATTTTATTACAAAAAGAATTTAAGAGAAGCTGTCATTTAAGCCATTTACAAATTTTGTATTTATAACAATTCTGGATAGTTGGGTTTTTTATTCATTATTAACTCTAAGATGGTATGCTTAACAAAATTGTACTTACATTTAAATTGTTTAATTTTAATATTGGAGGCTACACTATTGGAAGGTATATACATGTATGATTAAATGCATGATAGAAAATAGATTTCTGTGATAAAACATCACAATAGAGTGGAGAAGTTGAAAAAAGTAGACAATATTTACTCTGTATGTTTGAATATAAACTAATTTTCCTTCCATTAAGTTCTATATAAATGTAATCATTAATTGCCATGGAAAAGAAAAGACAAAGCTGGTAAAGTAACATACTTATTCCCTATTATAATAGAGCAGTATTACTTCTTCCTGTTGATTGATTTACCCACAGTAGCTTCCAAATATTGTTGTTTTTGATTGCAGTTAAGTCTAGCACGACTCATAGTAACACTATGAACAAAAGACTTGATGTCTTTCTATAACCATTATCATTTCTTAAAGTCATAGATTTTCCAGAGGCATGTGGTTTAGGAAGTAGATGCCTCTCCTGTCTCCAATCCAAATATTACTCATGCCTTTTATTTTTGTCAGCTACTCTAATTATTGTCATGTAATGCGTGAAAATTCCATAGAATTATCAAATATTTTAGTGAAAGTGATTCTAATAGTGATATAAATGTATATAATAATATAATAGTGATAGTAAATGAAAACAAGAGCTATAGAATTTAAGTATCTTCTGTAGAGTCATATCTTTAGACCGTGGTTTAGATACTTAAGATCATTCCTCCTTGTCCTATTTGTGTCTGTGCTCATAAAATATTATGGGTTATCTTACAGTTTTGAAAGCATTTTGAAGCAATAACATATTATTCTGTTTTTAGGTAGTTATAACTAGTAAAAGTGGAGAGATTCTTTATCGTATTTCACCATGGGCAAAGTATGTGACTCGTGAAGGGAATAGTGTGAATTATGATTGGATACACTGGAATCCAGAACACACATATAAAGTAAGAACTAAAATCTTTAAGTAAATTCTTGAGTAAATATGTACTAATATTTCTAAAAATAATAATTTTTTAAATTTTTCTAACATATGTGGAATTTAGAATTGTATATCATAGAATTATTTTCTATTTTATATGTGTAACTCATATATGATCTCTAGCCAATTAAATATAGAAGTGACTTTTTAAGTCTCAGGATTTAGAGTGGTTAAATACTGAAAAAGTAATCTCTATGTACTGAGTTTTAAAGAATGCTGAAAAAGAAAAGTTCAGCAGTATCCCTGATTCATGAAAATTCTTCAAGGATATAATAGTTATCCTTGCCATGGGATGGGAAATAGAATCACTCTCTTTAGGAATAAAAACAGGAAATAACATTACTAAATTTATTAGAGGAATATTTAAAGTATTATCAATGTGATTGTTAGTTTTGAACTCACTTTTCTGTCTTTGAAGTTATTCAAGTATATTAATTAAATACTTTTTTATGTAATAGCTATAAATACGTTTCATGACTCTTATTAGTGTTTATGCACACTAAAGCCCAAACACTTTATTATTGTGTCAGTTCCAATGCATTACGTTTTTTAAAATTATAGAAAGACTTCCTCCTGAGGAGCAGCTGGTGAGATTGAACTTCTGGCCTTGTTGTTAGTGGGCCACTTGATAACATGCAAGGCCATGAGGGCTTCTTTATTGTTGCTCAGATTCAGAAAATAGTTTTACTCATAGATAAAATATATAATATTATGCTCATATGTGGCTTCTCTACTAAGCTAGGATCTTAAAATTTGGAAGATTTTTTTGGTTTGTTTAATATAAAGAAAATTTAATGGATATAGTCAATTATTCTAATATGCTGCCATTGTTTAACTTAGTTCATCCATTCCATCTGTTTAACATGCTTGGCCACTTTCTGTGAGACTTTCATTCTTGGACTAATCATTTATATAATTCTGTATTCTCTAGTTTAAGTATTCCAGACCAAAAAAGCCAAAAAGTCTAAGAATTTATGAATGTCATGTGGGAATTTCTTCCCATGAAGGAAAAATAGCTTCGTATAAACATTTTACATGCAATGTACTACCACGAATTAAAGACCTTGGTAAGTAATAACTGTGATTTTTATTCAGATAAAATTTTAATGAGTCTGTTCTCTTATTAGAAAACCTAATTACAAGTGTCTCTTTTTGTGTTAAGAGATTAAATATGTAATAGAAATACATTTTATTTTAGGCTTCTCAAATTACCCTGTAATAGTGATAGCATAGAAAAGAGAAATGGAATAAGATAGAGCATAAGAATTCAAGATATTATTCCAATTTCAATTTAAAGTAATGTGAACTGATGGCTTCTAAAATTGTAGATAAATATGTAAGCATAATTACTTTTCTGCAGGAGAAAACTTTCATCCAATTAAGTGATCATTGATTATAGCCTGTTCATTTTAGTTTGTTAGGGAAAAGTGTTCTATTTGTAAGTTAACTAGAACTCATTTTGCATCAGAGATACTGCATATGCAGTGCCTGTGTGCCTGACAGATATTATTGAAGATTCCCGGACTGAGACATATTGTGCTAGATGTTCCTATATTGGACCAGAATGACACAGGCCCTATCTTCAGAGGAGAATGACTAGTACACCTCTGACTTATTGAGTCAGTATGCTTTAAACCTGTAACTTTTCTTTCTATAGGTAATGAGTTTTTCTACTTTAGAGCATATTAGCAGCTATTCCAATAGTAGATAGGAGGATCCAAGGATATTTAATTATTAAGCTTTTGTTAGGGAGTACAGATTGTTACTAGAAGAACACTTGGCAACTCTTGATTAATATTTGCAATTATGTATCTTATTTATCTATGAGAGTAAGGTTAGGTTCTGTGAACAATAAATGATTAAATTTATAAAGAATTAATAATTATTTTAGATATTAAGTCCAAGTGCATTATATTTGAGGTGTTTATCATATTGTATAGTAATACATTGTTTATCACCTGTTTTTCACATAAACTGTGGTAGAACAAGGATTCTCATTTATTTTTGTGTCTGAATTACCTAGTTGATTGTTTGGAATATAAGTGACTCCATGAATGATTAATGCTATAAAGATTAGCAATAAAACTTATAAATTTATTTGATCATAAGTATAATATTTGCTACCTAATACAGAAATAAACTCCAAACTATTGAGTACATTGTAATTGTAATAGGATATATAATTATTTATTTATATTACTGTTGTACTTCTTTTTACATATGTTGAGTTAAATTTATTTTTGTTAATAAAAAAGACAACAGTAATTATTTCCTAGTATATTTTGAAATTGTGGAAAACATAGTTCTTTCTTTTATACTTATGTGACTCTATAATTTCCAGTATTCATCGCATGCTGAAATATTTGATATGAGAAGTTTTGAACCTATCAAGTATAATTTTTTTGTATACAAAACCAGTAAAATTTGATATTTGAGCAATATCAATGAATATACCTTTGTATAAACCTTAACCGGTTTTTATTCATTTGAGTTTGTCTTTTAGAGCAAAATAAGAATCTATTATATGTTTGTTATGTTGTTGTTATTTGCCATCGAGTCACCTGGGACTTAAATGACACTATGTACAACAGCTCTGGAACCTGCCCTGTCCTGAGCCACTCTCACTGTCTCTGACACACCTACCACACCATTACCACAGTCACTGTATCAGTCGATCTCATCTGGGGTCTTCCTCTCATGCACTCTCCTTCCACCCTTCCAATAATGATGTCCTTCTCAAGGACCGGTCCCTCCTGGCCATGTGTGGAAGTGTTAATTTCAAGCAATAAATAATTTGAAATATTTACCAAATCATACTTCGAAGAAAATAAAATTTTCTTAGTTTTATTTTAAAGACTATAACTTATATTAAAAATATTTTAGAGGTAATTTCAGCTTTTATCAAGGATGCTTTAGGCAGAGTATTCAACGATCCAGGAGGTATCAAAAGAAGATGGAAAGAATATATTGAGTCATTGTATCGAAAGGAATTGGCAGACACAGAAGAATTTCATGAAGCAACCTATGAGCAAGAGCCTATGGTGATGAAGGAAGAAGTTCAAGCTGCTTTGAAGGAAATAAGGACCCAGGAATAGATGGTATACCAACTGACATATTTCAGCTAACAGATGCTGACCTGGATGTGCTCACCAAGTTGTGTCAAGAAATCTGGAGAACAAGCACTTGGCCAACTGACTGGAAGAGATCTATATTTGTTCCCATTCCAAAGAAAGTTGACCCAACAGAGTGTGGAAACTATAGAACAATATCATTGATTTCACATGCAAGCACATTCTGCTAAAGATTATCCTAAAATGACTGGAACAGCACATCAGCAGAGAACTGCCAGAAGTCCAGGCTGGGTTTAGAAGGGGTCGTGGTACTAGGGATATTGTGTGTCAGAGTCAGTCGGTGAGACTGGCTCAGTTTGGGGCAGGATTCAGTGCTGTTGTACATAGGATCACTATGAGTCACAGGCAACTCAATAGTACAAACAATTTAGAGAACTATTACTTTAATTGGAGTTTTGGGAGATTTTAAACACTTGGCAGGTATTCTCCAGGCTGGGTTTAGAAGGGGCCGTGGTACTAGGGATATTGTAGTTAATGTCAGATGGATATTGGCTGAAAGCAGGGAGTACCAGAGGAATGTCTATCTGTGTTTCATTGAGTATGCAAAGGTGTTTGACTGTGTGGATCATAACAAACTGTGGCTGACTCTGAGAAGAATGGGAATCCCAGAACACTTGATCATGATAATGCGAAACTTATACTTGGACCAAGAGGCATTCATCAGAACAGAGCAAGGAAACACTGCATGGTTCAAAACTGGGAAAGGTGTACACCAGGATATGTCCTATCTCCATACCTTTTCAACCTGTATGCAGAATAGATCATCTGGGAGGCTGGGCTCTATGAGAAGAAATGCAGCATCAGGATTGGTGGAAGATCTATCAACAATCTGCATTATGCAGATGACACAAACCTGCTTGCTGAAACTGAGGAGGACGTAAAGCGCTTGCTACAGAAGGTCAAGGACTGCAGCCTTTAATATGGATTGAGGCTCAATGTCAAGAAGACAAAGATTCTCACCACTGCACCAACTGACAGCATCGGGATGGATGGTGAAGAGATTGAGATTGTTCACAGCTTTAGTTTTCTTGGCTCCACAATCAACACTCTTGGCAATAGCAGCCAGGAAATTAAGAGACATACTGCCATGAGAAAGTCTGCTGTTAGGGACCTCTCTAAAGTACTCAAGAGCAACGGTGTGTCTCTGGAGACTAAGGTGCATCTGGTACAGGCATCATCTTTGCAATCACTTGTTATGTGTCAGAGAGCTGGACAATGACCAGGGAGGACAAAAGGAGAATTGATGCTTTTGAGCTTTGGTGTTGGAGACGAGTGCTGAGGGTACCATGGATTGTTCAGAAAACAAACAGATTCATCCAGGAGAGGGTTAAACCTTGCTGCTCCTTGGAGGCAAGGATTCTGAGGCTTTGTCTGACATACTTTGGTCATGTTGTAAGGAGAGACCGGTCCTTAGAGAAGGACATCATGCTTGGGAGGGTGGAGGGAAGGCACAGGAGGGGAAGACCCTCTGGGAGATGGATTGATTCAGTGACTGGGGCAATCGGGAAGAGTGTGTCAGAGACAATGAGATTGGCACAGGACAGAGCATAGTTTAGAGCTGTTGTATATAGGGTCGCTATGAGTCACAAGCAACTCGACGTCACATAACAACCACCACCACCACAACTTTTTAATACAATATATCCTTTTTTAGTTACTCCATTTATCATTAAAATTAAATGTTTTCAAATAGAAAAAGGAAGATTGAGTGCGTAAACACATTAGCAATTTTGGAGACATTTTACAAATATAAGAAAGAGTTAAGAGTAGAAACATTAAGTTAACTCTGTAAAAACTACTTTGTGGGAAAATGAATTTAATGATACTAGGTATGCTGTATAGCAGCGATGACTTTGAAATGTTAGGAAAATGGTAAAATAAAATGTACATGGTGTATAATCAGTTACACTTTTCTAGCTTTCATAATCATCAGTGTGAATATCAAAAGTACAAGTGAAGTTTAGCATATGTAGATTACCATCTTTAATATTCTAAAGCCAAATTAAGAGTATATTTGCATATCATTTATTGCTTGTTAAAATGGAGGCATTTCAAATAGTCAGATTATAATTCTCAAGAAACTATCAAATTTTGTGGTAGAAGGTCAAACATACTAAAAACATTAAGATTGTAGAATTTATTCATTAAGACAAAAAATAGATTTCATGTAAAAGATTTTCTTTGGAATGACTTGTCTTTATTGCATCCATTATTTTTTTCCTATTGTGTGTGGCTTTTAACCTCTCTTGTTTGACCTTTTCTAAAATAGGATACAACTGCATTCAGCTGATGGCAATCATGGAACATGCGTACTATGCAAGTTTTGGTTACCAAATCACAAGCTTCTTTGCAGCTTCAAGGTAAAACGGAAGATTTTCTGGCATCAATTTCATTTTGAACAAATTAGGACAAAATTAAATTTACATTTACCTTTATAAACAGTCGTTTGTGAAGTATTTTTGTGTCAAAAGAATTAACAGAAATTGATTTTATTTCATTAGAGTCATGCTATTCTGAGGTGATTTAACTCCTAGCAACTCTATGTACAAAACAATGAAACCCTGCCTCTCCCTGCACCTTGTTAAAATCTCTGCTGCTATCATTAAATTAATTATTGTAGCTACTGTGTCAATCCATCTAGTTAAGGGTCTTCTTCCTCTTCACTGACCGACTACTCTTCCAAAGATGATGTCCATTCACAAAGACTGGCCCCTTAAAATAAAATGCCAACAGTATGTAAGATGAAGTCTAAACTTTTCTTGCCTCCATGGTCCTAGATTTTTCCAGTTCAGTCTTAAGAGTTTGCTTTTCATAAAATATCTGGGGGGTTTTTTGTTTGTTTTTTTGTTTTTTAAATGAAGAGAGTCTAAAGGTTATCACATTTGGAATATCAAGCACTTTGGTCACATCCCACAGAAGATATTTTTGCCATGATATTTGCTAGGCATTTCTTTTTCTTTTTTAATGGACTGACTTTTGTAGGAACATGACCAAGAAAGTACTTGGCATACAGCCCATATAAGGACTGCCTTTGCAAGTCTACAGGCAAAAAGCACTGTGACCCTCTGGGTAGAAGTCACTTGAAACTCTAGGTAATCAAAGAATTGAATGACTATGGTGGAGAAAATAATTTTGACTGGAAATGTGTTTACCTAGTTGTCAGTGCTTTTCTTGGTAGCCTATTTTCTATTTCAATTGCTATTAGCTAAACACATTTAAGCATAGGCAATCTGATAACAGATAACAAATCAGCTCTTCTTCACTTCTCAATCAGCTACTTACAGTACATTAGTTCACTGTTTCAAAAGTGCTTTGATTTTAATATCTGCAAGACAGTACAGGAGAAGGATTAATACTGGAAAATATGAAGTTGGTGACAGAAATTAAACTGGAGAGAGAGCATTTTGTACAATCAATTAATTACTCAATTAATGCGAATACCTTTTATAAGAATAACAGCATCTGTATACATTGACCTCACATAATGATCTATACAGGAATCAAATTGATTCCATCTATCTGCAGAAAGAATAATTGAAAACTAAGCCAGGTACTGACTGTGGCACAGACCATCAACTACTCATATGCAAATTCAAATTGAAGTGAAAGAAAATGAAAATAAATCCACAAGAACCTAAATTTGATATTGAGTCTATCTCACCTGAATTATAACCCATAACAGGAACAGGTTTGAGCCTTAAACATTAATTTAAAAAAAAGACCTGATGAGCTTTGGGAGGATATGAAGCAAATTTTCCAAGAAGATGCAAAAGGTGATTACAATGACAGAAGAGGAAGAAAAGACTAAGATGAATATCGGAAGAGGTTCTGAATATTGCGCTAGAGCACTGAGTTGCCAAAGAGAAGGTAAGAAAGTAGGAAGAAGAGGAACAGAAGGTTTCAAAGAACAACTTGGGAAGACAAGCAAAGTATTGTAATGAAATATGGAAAAAGATGGAGTCAGAAAATTAAATTGGATGAACTTGCTCAGCATTTCTTAAGCTGAAGAAATTGGAGAACAAATTCAATCTTTTTTATTATTTTTTAAAGTTATTATTATAATTAACATTAATATTTTAATGAAAATTTATAGACATTTTGGACTTTCATTGATTCATTGTTGCACATTTCCTCCCCTCTGGTTAGTTGTTTGAATGGTTATACTTAAAGATGCTAGTAATGTTGTTTTTAAGTGCTGTCAAGTCATACAAGATTCATAGTGACCCTATGAATTAAAGACCTGAACACTTGTATGACTTTCATCCTTTCTCCAGCTTTACAGGGTTTCTGGAAGCAAGCTATTTCAGAAGTGGATGCCACTCTTGCGTCCAAGCATTTGATACATCAGTGTCACAGTGTTTTGCATCACAGCAACCACGAGTTACCTCTGTACAGCAAGTGAACAAATCAGGCCTATTTGAACTAAGAGAATGTTTGATCAAAAACAATTAAAACCAGGCCTTAGGGAAGATGGGAGAAGTGCAGAGTGCAGAAAATCATGTACCAAAAAGAACTGGCTGACACAGAAGAATTTCATGAAATGACATATGATCAAGAAGCAATGGAGAAGGGGGAAGTTCAACCTGCTCTGAAGGCCCTAAGAATTCATGGAATACCAGGTGACATATTTCAACAAACACATGCACCTCTGGATATGCTTACCAGATTGTGTCAAGACATCTGGACGGCAATCAACCTGGCCAACTAACTGGAAGAGATCCATATTTATTCTCATTTAAAAAAATTAATCCAGCAGTGTGGAAATTATCAAACAGTATCACTAGTAGCACACAGAAACAAAATCCTGCTGAAGATTTTCCACTACCAGAGATACAAGTCAGGTTTGGAAGAGGTCATAGCCCTTGGGACATAATAGCCCAAGTCAGATGGATCTTGGCTGAAAACAGAGTGTATCAGAAGTATGTGTATCTGTGTTTCATTGACTATGTAAAGGCATTTGTATGGATCACATCAAATTGTGACCAACCTTGGGAAGAATGGGAATCCCAGAAGAATTGGTTATGTTCCTGTGAAACCTATCCTTGTACCGGGAAGCAGTTGTCAGTATATAGCAAGGAGACCGAATTAGGAGTGTCAGAGATGTGTCCTGTCTCCATACCTTTTCAATCTATATGTATAATATATCATTTGGGAGATTGAACTTTATAAAGAGGAATTTGGTAACAGGGTTGGAGGAAAATTCATCAACAACCTGTGGTATGCAGATGATACAACCTTGCTTTCCAAATCTGAGGAGGACCTGAAGCATTTGCTGAGGAAGGTCAAGAACTGTAATTTTCAATATGTATTGAAGTTCACCATCAAGATGACAAAGATTCTCTCCACTGGGAAAATTGACAGTACCATTATAGATGGAGAAAACATTGAGATTGTTGACAATTTCAGCTTGTTTGGTTCTATAATCCACACTCTTGGCACCAGCAGTTAGGAAATCTGCATTAGGAAAAGCTATTAGGGAAAATCTGTTCGAGATCTCTCCAGAGTGCAGACAAACAAAGATATCAGTATAGAGACTAAGGTATACCTGATTCAGGCCATGGCTTTAGCACACCCCCCCCACACCCCCCCCACACCCACATACCCCCCTGAAAAACAAACAAAAACCCCCTTCATTATGTAGATAACACAAGTTTTCTTGCTGAAAGTTAGGAGGACTTGAATCAGTTGCCACATAAGATCAAACACTGCAGCCTACAATAGGGATTGCATCTCAACATCAAGAAAACAAAAATTCTTACCACTAGACTAATAGGCAATGTTATAATAGATGTAGAAAAGGTTGAAACTGCTAGTAACTTCATCTTACTTGAACTCACACTCAGTATACTTGGTACCAGCAGTCAGGATGTCTGAAGACATGTTGTGCTGGGAAAGGCAGCAGTCAGGTACTTGTCCAAATTACCAAGGAGCAGTGATGTCAATTTTAGGACTAAGGTGCAACTGCTCTAGGTCATGGTATTTTCACTTATTTGCTGTGCATCTGAGAGCTGGACAATGATTAAGAACAACTGAAGAAAAAATTGATGCCTTTGAATTGTGGTATTGGAAATGAGTACTGAACATCTTGTGAATTGCCAAAAGAAAAGATGTATCTTGGAGAAGGTGCAGCCAGAGTGCTCCTTGAAGTAACTGAAAATAAAGCTTCATCTTTCATATTCTGAGTTCTTGCTAGGAGAGGATATTCTTGGAAGAAGGACATATGAATGGGAAGATGGGACTATAGTAAAAGACAGGAAGACCTTCCACCAGGTGGACCGGCACAGTGACTTCAGCAGTAGGTTTAAGTATTTCAGAGATTGTGAGGATGGTACAAGATAGAGCAAGATTCAGATCTGTTAGTTATAGGGTTGCCATGAATTGTAACAGACGTGATGGCACCTAACAACCACACTGGTGTTATGATAGACAAATCCAACGTTCTTTTTTTATGGAGCTGACAGTATGGTGGCACACAGATTGTTTTAATTTTATAAGGATGCTAGTACACATTACTAAAAAGTGAATTCCTTCAAAGGGCAGAATTTATTTTCTCATACTTGTGGATTATAATAGCCCAAATCAGGATACTGGTCTCATACGGGCACATATGAGGGTACACATCTTTCCCACTTGCATGGTTACAGTCATGATGCATATTTTGTCCTGTTGTTATTTGAGGGCATTCTGGCTTTAAAATAAATATAGGAGAAATGGCCTCAAAGAAAGTATGAGAAACATTTCTTACCTCAATTTAGTCTATACACACTCAAAGGGATAGGCAGGTATGTGAACAGATAACCCTGCCTTTCCCTATGAGATAAAAGCCAGAGGTTAGAGAAACTGTTTAACCACATACATAGTCAAATAGTGAACTTTTTATTTATCATATCAGTCTATACTTAATTATATAAAATATTATGATAATTATTCTTTTAATTTTTTATCCCATAAAATGTTGATTGAATTGCACATTTACATTTACTTTTAACCCAATTTTAATGATAGTGACCAATCTGTAAGAATTATTTCTTATATCACTTGCATATTTAAAACATCTAATCCTGTACTGGTTAGACAGTTGGTATATATGAAGGTTGATTTTTTTTTTAAAATATATTTTCTTGCTTTTACTGCATTTTTTTACTTTTAGCCGCTACGGAACACCTGAAGAGCTAAAAGAATTGGTTGATACAGCTCATTCAATGGGCATTATTGTCCTCTTAGACGTGGTACATAGCCATGCTTCAAAAAATTCTGAGGATGGACTGAATATGTTTGATGGAACAGATTCCTGTTATTTTCATTCTGGACCTAGAGGGAATCATGACCTATGGGATAGCAGACTGTTTGCCTACTCCAGGTAGGTACATATATTACGAAAAGTATTTTCTGTTTAAAAGTAATTTCAAGAAATTTCACTCAATTCATTGGCTCTCTACTGTTGCATTGCTATTTAATAGTCTTACTGTGATTAATGTTTAATAGTATGAGGAATGTTTAGCATAGTTATAGATTTTACCATTTTTTGCAAAACTTATTATTTTTTTAAATTGTATTATATTTCAGCTTTATAAATTTTAAAATTAATTTTTGCTAAGTAGATACCTATTCTCTGCAACTCTATAGCAAACCTATGGGACTGAGTAGAACTGCTCCATAGGGTTTTGAAAGAGGCTGTCAATCCTGGTTAGAACAGACTACCGCATCCAGCTTCTGTGGAATAGCTGGTGAGTTTAAAACATTTATCTTTTGGTTAGTAGCTGAGTACTTAATCATTGCACCACTAGGGCTACTTGGACTTATGATATCCTGATGCTGTTGAGGTGAGTACAACTCAAAATAACCTCATACCAGCTATCTAAGAAGACTGCTTATCTGCTCATCTTTCTCCTGTGGATAATTGGTAGATTTGAACTGTTGACCTTTTGATTAGCTACCCTACAT